GGAAAAGACTGAGATCCTGCTGTGCCCCAGCAGCCTGGATGCTGCCAGCCAGGAGCACCCCAGAGACTGCAGGGTCCCCGGAGGCTCCACAGAGTCCAAGGCCAGCCACAGAGCACTTAGAGACCTCCTGGGGCTGTGGCCACTCCAGAGCTGGAGAGGGGGACTTGAGACTCACCCCTGAGTGTGATGTTCACCCCTGCCAGGCCAACATGCAGCCCGATGTCTGCATTCACCAGGGCACGGCTGAAGGACTTGTAGGAGGTGTTTGCCTTCACCCATCCGGTTTCCCAGTCCCTGGTGAAGTTGACAGCTGCCCAGAAGAGCAGAGCTGGTGTTAAAGAGGGGCTGGTCTCAGGCTTACAGGGAGTGCACAGAACAGAACAGCTGAGTCAGCCACCAGGACCTGCCTCAACCAGCTCCCACGCCCTGGCAAGAGCTCCTGTCCTCCCCTTGTGGAGCATCCACTCCCTTGTTCTGGGAGCTCAGACCCTCAGGGACGAATCTCATGACCTGATCCCTCCTGTGACATCCTATCCAGGACTTCCCTGCAAGGTCCCCAGCGTGGCAAGCACTGCAGCCCCTAGGGTCTGGGAAATGAGCCCATTCCTCAGCCTCAGGGACAAGGTTGAGTTTTATTGCCAAATGCTGAGCTTTTGAGAGCAGTTGAGCTCGGAGGTGGTGGAGAGGGTTGGCAAGATCCATCCCAGCTGTGTCAGCCATTGCAGCAGGGAAACAAACTGGAAACCTTTCCGGTACATATTATTTGGAACAAAGTGTCCCCTTCTGAGACACTTTGTGGAGGGCTTAACTTTCTGGCACTGGGATGAGCTGAAAGTGAAGGTGATGCTTTAATCTCAGGCTGAACAAGACCTTTTCAACCTGCCTGAGAAGAAGTTTACCTGCAGAATCAACATGTGAGGGCACCAATCCAGTAGCAGCTCCGTAGGAACGTTTTCTAGCAGCAGGGTCAAGGGTGCCCTCCTGCCACCAGCCAGCAACCCTGATGCTGGCTTTAAAACAATTAATTCCTCCTGGGTGCCCAAGCAGCACTGGCTGCATCCTGGTAAGGAGAGCAGTGCCAGCTGGCTCTCCAGGGCTAAGCTGTGGAGCAAGCCCTGGTCTCTGCCCCTCTATCCTCTCCATCCTGGCACCATGCTCTTAGGCAGCTCTGGTGGCATCTCCCAGCACCTAGACACCCTCAGGCAGGGTGACCACCACTGGCCCAGGCATCAGTCAGCAGAGTTTCATGGCTGGTCACAGCCTGGAACTCTACTCCTATCAGCTGGTCACATCAGGGGTTGAGTTCAGCTTGGTCTTCATCATCCCTCTCCAAGCAGTCTTGTCCTCCACCCTGTCCTTTGCAGCAGGAGTCTTTCAGGTTCAGGGTCAGGGCTGGAGATTCTCCACATCTGGCATCTTCTATCCTCTCATTACATCTTTCACTTACATGCCCTGTTGCTCCATCAGAATTGGAAATCTCACAGCCTGGTTCCCACCACCAGTCATTATTACGGAATCAGATTTCCTGATTTCTTCTCAATCAAATCCTCTCCATGTCCTCCTGCCTTGCTCCTTAGAAGGTCTTTATCCCCCTCCCCACACACTTCTGCACTGCCTGTGTTTTATTTCAACCTGCTCTCTCCTAGTCACTGCAAGGCTCCTCACCCTCCACTCATGCCTGTCCACAGCCTGAGCTGCTCAGGTGGGCTCCCTTGGCAGCTCAGGAGGGCTTGGGCAGCCAGAGGAGCACGGGGCTGCACAGCCCACGAGAGCTGGGACTGTGCCACCTCTGTAGAGCAGTCATGATCAGCCAAGATTTCTCTTCATTCAGAAGTGACCATGGGCCCCTCTAGCTGCTCTCAATTTCCATGCCAGGGGTGGGAAAGCCCTTTTGGGAAGCTGTGTGACTGCTTTGCAGGGCAAAGGCTGGGAAGACCAGGCCATGGCTGTGACCACCAGCTCACATTTCCCAGGCACAGACCCTGCCCTGGGGTTTGCTCCTGTCCCCAGACCCACCCTCCAGGGGCTGTGCAGCACTTACCAACGATCACCACTCCCACAACAAGGCTGAGGAGAACCCGAAGTGTCCAGTACAGCCTCTGTGGGGAGAGAGGTGGGACATCAGGCATGGAGGAATAGTCTTGGCTGTCCTCCTACCTCATGCTGAGCCAGCCCAGAGTGTCCCAGCAACCAAAAGGTGGGGAGCAGATGCTCATCCCCAGGGAGAGGGGTCACACACCGCCCGTCCACGGATGCCTGGGATGATGAGCAGGAAGCTGCAGGCAAATGTTAGGAAGACCACGATCACGATGATGATGCTGACATCAAACACAGAGACCTTCCTCTGCTGCGGGTAGAAGGGGTAGACGCCGTCAAAGAGAGTCATTCTGTGCCTCTGGAAGCCTGTGGGAGACAGGAGGTGAATGCAGGAACCCTGCACTGCCCTGCCCAGCTGCCTCCAGCCCGTGGTGCCAGCCCCAGCTCAGCTCTGCAGTAACCGGCTGCAGGAGGTCCACCTCAAAACTCCCCAGAGGGAACAAGGAAATGTGACACTGCCAGGAAGCAGGCAGGGCAAAATACTCCTCAGCAGAGAAACACACCACCCAAAAAACCCCAGGTGGAGGTGAGGAGGTGCCTGTGGCAGGGCTGCACCAGCTTGCAGGGTTTGTGGCAACCCAGGAAACCACCAGCTGCTGTCTTGCTGCAGCTTGAGGAGCAGCCCAGACCCAGAAACCTGTTGAGCAGCTCCTTCCCAGACAGAGCCAGCTCCTTTGCTCCAGGAGATGCAGCCAGAGCTTTCCACTTTGTGGTGCACCCTTAGATAAAGTCCACAAGTCAGAGACCATTGGCAGATGTGGCCTTCCTCCAACGTTACAAGAAAACACTGAGAACACTGATTTCACAGTAGCAACATTATCCCCAGCCAGGGGCCACCACCACCCAGAAAAGCAAAGACCACTTTCCCTATTTCCACCCCCTCTGCTCAGAGCTCCAAGGAGCTGCAAAAATACAATCTAGGGAGGGAGGAGAGTCTCTGTGCTTAGTCCAGAGAGGACAGAAGCAACCCCTAGAAATTACATGTGGGTCCAAGGAGTACACAGCTTCAGAAACACATCTCAAGGCTCAAGGAGACCAAGTTATGTGAGATCAAATGGTAGATGAAGGGTATAATTCCCATAGATGGCTTCCAACACTTTGGTTCCAGCAGTTACAGAGATTCCCCCCTTCCTAGGCTAGATCTTTTCTACCAAAACTAATTACATTCTTAGTCTTTTCATTTTCCCTATTTAATAGCATCTCTGCATGTAGCTACCTCGGGAAGTCTTCTGAAGTCAGGGAATACCTGAGCTAATATGACTCAGTACCAAATACAATTTCTCTGTCCCTGCATGGAGGAGTTGGTTTTATGCTTGTTTTCTGAAAAGAGAATAGATTGTGTTTTTAAGTTAAGATCCAACCTGGAGCAATTCAGTCAAAAACCAAAAAGCAAGTCCCAAATCCCTGGAAGTGGGTGGGGAATTACAGTAACTTTAATGAAATTATTTTCCTGGGCAGCTGAAGTCACTTTTCAATGCACAAAGCAGTATTTGGTTTCAGAATCATTCTCTGTCCAGCATCCTTACAGCAAACAATTTAGCAGAGCAGGCTTTGTCCAACGGGCTCACAGCTGAGCTAGACCTGACCTCAGCTTGATTCTCTGCTCCAGACAAGCAGAATTATCCTCTACTTACAAATCTTGCTTTGGGCTATTTTGCTGTAGCTGTTTCAGGCTATTTCCCTGGAAAGCCAAGTCCCGAGAAGGGCAACCCTGTGGTTACCTGGCAATCAGGAGATGTAACTGAGAGTTGCAGGGTCCCCAGCCAAACAAACGTGTCCACAAACAGTCTGAGTGGCTGGAAGAGAAGGAAGAAATGAACAGTTTAGTCTAGGAAAAGTGAAATCTTGATCGCTTTAATTCCACTGGTTTCATTTTATCTTTGCCTGTGAGATGCTGTGAGGGAAGGAACAAATTCAAGCCTATATTTACTGCAAAGCAGCTCTTCACAGCTTAAATCATATCAACAGCATCTAACAACTGAAAAACCAGAACATAACAGGGAAAATGCTGCCTTTTAAATCTAAATTTAACTTTCACATGACGTGAAAGGGACGTTTGCATGTCCTCTGCACTTTGCAACTTCTGGAGTAGTTCTATGAAGCATTTCCAGGGAAACAACTCTTTCTGTCTGCTCAGTCTTTCTCACTTCATTACCCTCCACAGGAGACCAGCTCCTTGGCATTTTTGCAGCTTTGAAGTGGAAAACTGGAGCCTGTAGCTCAGAGTAGGAGAAACTGAAGTTGTTTCTCCTCAGAAAACATCCTCCATGCAGAAGCAAGGCTGGGGCCCAGAAGCCCCTGTGGCTGGTTCCCTCTGTCTCCCGTATGGAGAGGAAAATGACTAAAGGCATCTTCTAGGAAAGATCAGTAATTTAGCAGAAATTGACAACTTATACAATATATTAAAATTTTTAAATCTATTTTTTAGATTAAATTTTTTAATACTCTGGATTGAGAGGAAGAAAGGCAGAAAGTTTGCCCAAACTCCAGCAGTTTCTGCTTACAGAAACCTCTCCTGCCCCACAGTGCATTAGGATGGAAGGGAACCTGCCAAAACTCTCATCTCAGCAGAGCCAACAGCAGTTCTAGGTTGGGTTGCTCAGGGCTGCAGATTGATATTTGGAGCAAGGGAAATGTTGCCCCATGGAAACTGCAATGATCAGAGGCACAATTCAGGGAAGGGTGAGACACACACGCTCCCTGCATCCCCTGCCGCTGTGAGGGTCAAACCGGGACAGGAAAAACCGCCGGGTTAACTCAGGCTGGGGATTCATCCTCTCCTCCTCACCCTCGCCCACCCGGGCCCCTTGCAGCAGGCTGGGCAGCGTGCGGGGGCTGCTCCTCGGAGCACGCCCAGGGCCAGGGCGGGAGCGGGACGCGGTGGTGGATCCTTCCCAGGTACCCACCGACCCACTCCCCTGCGGACTCACTCACTCACCTACC